CAGGAATGTTCGAGGGGCTGATTGTGACAGGAAGTATACCTGGTTTACATTCTCTATCGCAGGCTAATATAGCGGAAGTGACTACTTATGGGAAAGAATTAAACTATGGGTTCTACCTAACAGTGTCTCTAGCTCACTGAGGTACTTCTGTTAGCTTCATGCCAGCAGTCCACCCTTCGTAAATCACTATAAATGGAGCTTGTACCTATGGATCATTTTGGATTTTGTAGACAATGGATTTATGTCTTCGAGTGAATGCACTGCAAGCTACCCCACCCCTAACGTCGCAACGGAGGCTCGAGGCAAACATAAGTGTTCCGAAAACACTGTGAGTATCCAAAGGGCCATTTAGACCATCGAGGTCCACCGTGTGGCCCACAGCAAGTTGATACTTGGACAGCAAATTGCGTGTGCCTAAGATTATAGTGGGAGTAGAAATGCGCTTCATTTGCCGCACACTCTCTCTCTTTCTCTTCCGACTGGGCCCGGTGTTATGACTAAGTCAACAGGACCGCAGGCAGGAGAGGACACTGGTGGTTGGCGCGGCTGGAGCCGTCCTTATGCGTGCCATGCCACCTTGCTCGGGTCCCACAGAAAGAGCCAGTGCCCTAGAGTTAACTCTAATAAGGAGATCTTACAGTGTGACTTTCAGTCCACCAGTCGGCCACTCCACAGAAACACTCACTGGGCTGACCGCACGATCCGAGTTTCCCGTCGGTAGGGGAACTTCCAAACCACGGATTTTAGTGCAACATGATAGCTTCTAGCGTGAGAGCCAGATTGTTTATAGTGAGGAAAGTGTGCTGAGCCGTTGACCTCAATCCTTATTCCACCTCCAAAGTCCCAGTTACTGTCCGAGCGAATCAGGTGCGAGGCACGAGCAATGCCATCTCCATTGGCAATAGCATACCAGTTAGATCACAATTAGCCACAGCCACAAGGAATCTGCCGCGAGTTGGAATGAATACCTGCGTCTTGACTGTAAAAAGCCTTGCGCTTGCTATTTGTGATTTCGGACCTCACGGGAGCCATCCAATTTTCTACATTTGAGTCAGACGAATTACGCAGATGTGCCCAAAATACGCTCCTTACTATCCGATTTACCAAAATAAAGGCAGTTACACAACCATCGCCGTGTTTTTCAACTGTGAGAGAATAAACTGATAGCCTGTCGTTTCACACAGTTGGTCAGTCTATTTCAGCCAACTTACCGTTCTGGCTTTGTGCTGAATAATCTACCTATGAAATGGGGACGGCTGTACCAACCATTGTTGCGGAAAAGTGTGGCGTTGCTGACACAAGACCTAGTTCTTGGCGCAGCATTTGAGACCATAGTTGGTGCGCCTTGTTGACCAACTTATAGTAAATTAGGTAAGTTTGTTTTAAGAGCTCGTAGTGATTTATTTCCAAACTCCATGAACTTGATGTAGATAAAGCCGAAAGCAAGTCAGCGTGATAAGCTCAGAGGTAGAGTTGAGACGAAATCGTCAAAGTTGCTGTTTAATCGCCCAACATACTGAAGGAGCAATGTTATGGTTCTTTTTCACACCATTTTCAAGCATAATTTTGAACGCCAATTCAACAGACTGTGTCATAAACAACCAAAATTTGACGCGGACATTAGTGTGCATTTAGAAAGCATCTGTGTTTTTAATTAACCAAAAACTGACATTAGAGCCTAACTACACGAATAAAGCAGAATAAGATTAATCTGCTGCTTTTTAGCTTACTAGCAAATCAATGGTTAACTTGGATTAAATAAGGGTAAACTAGGTTCTATAAACGTAACCTGAAGTCCATCGGCCGCAGGAGGATACCCGTTTAATGTCCTGTACACTGCGAACGTAGAGTTAGTGAGCAGCCCAGATACTAGCTATAAGTCCAGACATGCGTTTTTCCGATATCCTGCCGTCCCATTTCTGCTACCAGATAATTCCTTAGAATTGCTACTCTCAATATAAACCTTAGTGGAATTTACTTGCTGATATCTTTTAGTAAATCCAAGTCCATACCAGCTTCTACGTGCTGATTCATCTGTCTCAACGAGTCGATTGTGTCTGCGTGCCAGCATAAAAACTTGGTTCGTATCAGCTAAAGCAGTATTTTATTCAGGTGCATTTTTAATAGTGTTCTAAAGTTGAAACTAAAACCTTCATCTGACTAACTTTGAACATTAATGAATGTGGCACACCTGAAGTAGCCAAACTCCGATTGGAAAGCTCAAGCTCTCGTGATTGCTTGCACGTGTGCACCAGTGTTTACCGGATCAATTCTTACTAGGCTGACTCACGCAAGACCTCACTGAAGACACTCTTATGACTACTGCGCTCTCACACTTTGGGTGCCGCACTCACGACAACTTCTACCAACCTATCCTTCACTAGGCCTGTACAGAATACACTATTCCCACCTATTCTTTTCCAGTCCAGAACCGGGTCTGAAGGTCGTAGCGGCTATGGTCCTCGTCTTCCTATTACCGACAGTGTAGTTAACGTCGCTAGAGATTACAGAACGAGTCTGGTAGTTAAAAGTCTGGATCACCAAAGTTTTACAGTTGTACTTATTTTCCTTACAACTTTAATTTACTATAAACGTAAAGCTGTCATTAACTTAAAAAAATACTCACTTTCTGTTGAAACTATTAGCGAATCAGGTCGCGCCTTCATGCACTTTGTGAGGATCGTTTCTTCTCCCCGGGGGTTATAAATGCAGGCCGACCACTCGCCTTCTGTGAGGCCGTAGGTAGGACCAAACAGCAGAAGTTCCTCCTCAGCATACTGTCGTGGTCGTTCCTTGAATGGAGCTCGACCTCCCGGACGGGAACTGGGCCAGGAGATCCATAATTCAACCTTTGACAGCAGTGTTCTGTAAACGCAGGCAGGATGCAATGGATGCACGCCACCGTTAAATTAATATAAAACCATCTATTCAGAATATATATGTAGTTATCAAGAGAATAAATTCGAAAAATTATTATGTGGACGGCATGGAAGTTAGTGACCGGGACATTAAATTTTAGAGCCAGACCCTGACAGTTAATGAGTATTTGAGTCGAAATCTTTAAACTATCGTGGAACTACCACGAAATACCCATTCTACAAACAAATATTACTACTACTAGTATTAATTCTAGATGACAATGATGTTATACCGCACTCCCAACATAGCAGACGACCCATTTAGCCGAACTTGATTGACAAAAGAAAAGGATGGCTTTAGATGAAAAGTGGATGACTATTTCTCACCTAACTTATACAAACCAAAAGTCTTCAGTTAAACTTGTAGATCTGTTTTATACAGTTTTTACAGCAACGAAGGAACATGTGCTTTCCAAGGGGATGAAATACAACCATTCTGGTTCAAATAAGTTGGATTCCCTCACCAGCTTGGAGCTTATGCTATCAACAGGAAACCTCACCATAAATGAGCTGTTAAAAATCTGAAACAGCGCTGTCGAGGCCTTAAAAGGTCAGAATTTGTTTTTTATCCCTGTCGCCCGAAGAAAAGAAAGCATGTAAGATTTTAAAACTTACAAAAATATTATCACTCTCCCCGCAGATAAACTAGGCTTTACTGCGAACTGGAAAAAAATCAGACTATACACGGGAGATACTGCCATTATTAGGAGAAAGCTCAATTTATAGGTCTCTTTCCACATACCTAACCAAGAAGCAGATTTCAAAGTGCTGATGTATACTCCAGGAGCAAAATAACTATAAGAGATATTGCAAAATCTCCGACACAGTCCGAGGCAACCATCACCAAACTCTACGTGTTACCCAACGTTCATAAGCCTAAAGTTCCCCAGCAAACGATAGTATCATTAAGCGGTTCACCAAATAAGAAAATTTCTAAGTGGCTTTTCCGTCAACTCCATCCACTTACAAGGGATTGCGAAAATTCCATCTCGAACTGTATAGAGTTTCTAGAGAAAGTAAGAGGAATCACAATCTTCGCATGTGACAAAATGGTCTCTGTTGACGTTATTACCTTGTTCAAATTCATAGCACTATATTTAGTAAGGCAATGCGTAGCAAAGCGAAGCAAAGCGTAGCGGGGGCCCTAAACACCTACCTAATGCAGCTGCCTGGCTTGACCTCGTATAACTTTGTTTTAAAACCAAATTTTTGTTCAATCACCAGTACGATCAACAATTCAAAAAAGCTCCAATGATTTCTGCCATATCTGGCTTCCTTGTCGAAATGATAACGTACAAGCGAGAATGGACGAATCTCCGTTTAGCTTACCTTAGTTTTTCGGTACGATACTTAGACGATACATTTTTGTCGTTAACCGATCCACTGGCTTTCAGAAGCAGATAAGATCAGCATGGGTAACAAAGGTCATGAGTAGGCAACCAACTAGTAGGCCAACGTCGGAATGATCAATGACGACCTATTGGTCGTCAGCCAGGCGTACCTAACCCCAGGTGTTGCAACTGCCACAGCTCCAGCCAACGTTCTGCCTGGTAGCAGTCAAATGCGTTAACCCCTCGAACAAAAGCAGTGAAAATGGTCGGTAGTGACAGAGATTAGAACTGCAGATTCTTGTTGAAAAGTGGAAACAAAAGCGCAGTCGCCTGACCTGTCCCCAGCATATACAGTAGGTGACGCAAGTTATGGAGCGCCAAAACGCACTTTTAAATGGGTAATGTAGCATACGTTTAAGAAATCTTCTAAGAATACACGAAAACAACATAAAAAGGTATGCTACATTAACGATTCAAAAACGTACTCAAGACTAAAATTGAGGATTCAAGACGATCAGTGTGCGTAAAACTGGGAACGCAATGAAAAAAATAACCAAGCATTTATAAGTGTTTTATTGACCTTCTGTCTGCCTGTAATACTTTAAGACGTCTTATTAGAATACACGAAAACAACATTATATTTTATTAACAATAAAGAAGGTATAATTTTTATTGTGTGAATTTTCAATTCTGGTTCTCTAGATCGTTGTCACACAAATGACAGTTGTGCGAAAAACGGTTAACTCAAAAAGATGACTAACACAAGATTCTGTGGTGGGTCGGAGTGTTGGAAGATGATCGCCACCCACAGTTAATTATGCGGTCCGCTACTTCCCCCCCCCTGACTGCATACTAACATGTGGGTGACGATTATCTTCCTGCGCTCTGACCCATCGCAGAATTTTGTGTTAGTTATCGTTTTGAGTTAACTTTTTCCGCACAACTCTCATCTGTCTGACGACGAGCTAGAGAACCAGACTTGACAATTCACTCAATAAACATTATTTTCTCCCAAAAAATTTATTGTTAATAACATATATCGTTTGGGATGCCGATATTCCAATGCATTATATGCATATAACCTATTACATATATATATGGCTTGAACAGATACCGTTCACTTCGTCAAATATACTGAATGATGTTTCAGTTCAAGCACTTACCGACACCTCTTGTGACTATTTAGGATTGATTTTTCTGCCAACTGAGAACGAAACGCCCGCTCTGTCTGTCCCCACCTGACTTCGGCCAGCAGAGTGTGCAGACTTTCCAGACGAGCAGCAGCCTGTCCACCGGTTGAAGTCCACTTCAAGATGGCTTCCACCACCTGCTCCTCGTCCACTGCCCTGAGATCGTCACTCTGGATGAGGCTGACAAGGTCTTTAAAGGGCAGAGCTGGAAAGGACGGTGAGAGCATAAACTCCGTGAAGGCCGTCTTCATCATCTCGAAGCAGGCCGCACGTAGCTGGGGGATGTCCTCATGATGAGCAAACTCCCAGTCATCCAGCAGACTATCTGGACGCAGCCTACACACACACGTGGAAGAGAGAAAGAGAATGATTTATTTTGAAGGTAATATTCAAAATTTTCAGCAAAAAATGGCTTACTTCACGGAAAGCAAGGTAAGTGTTTATGTTAAAAGGTCATAGGATACTCAAAGT